GTTCGGTTTTGGCCAGAGAGGAAGTCACAAGTAAGGAAATTCTCGTAGTTCGTGATGAATGCCTTGTTTTTCCTTTAATTCCAAGGCTCTACGTTTGCCAAAGCCAAGCCTGAAATCCCCTGGACATCGCTGACTCGGAAGGGAATTGTGAGAGTTGTGTTTTTTCCGTTGTTCAGCCAGTGGTGGATACAGGTTACTTCCCAGCGTATTTTTATGTGGCTCCTGGTGCTCTACGTTATGCAAGGTAACGGGTGGCAGCAGTCTGTGCCACGACCCTTTTTCGACAAGGAATGTGACACCATTTTGTAGTCCGTAATCTAAAGCATAAGGATCTGATCCGAAACCTACTTAATGTAGATTTCAAGTTGTGTGGCATTAGTGTTTGTGGAAATTATATCAGGGAGTGAAAGTAAATAATTAAGACAGAAGAACTGGGCCGTGCTCCTAATTTTTGTGTTCGATACACTTTTCTTTTCAGTCATAGCAGTTGTGTTGTATTTCATGATGCCGGTTGTGAATGCAAGTGAAGTCATGGGACCAATGTGCCTTATGCTGCTGATGGGAACTGTTCACTGTCAAATAGTGTCCACCCAGATCAACAAACCCTCAGGAAACAACGGAGTCAGCAGGAGGAGGAGGTGAGCTGGGTAGTGTGTCCATTTGTTGGCATCAAAGCGTACAATGGATTGCCCGTGGTAGAAGCTAACGGGTAAATATCTGCTCTTGCGTGTTTATCTAAGCGCGTTATTTAACCGTAAATGCGAAAATGAGTTTTTTCTGTCTCGCTTGTAACCTTTTCGTGACCAAATTTCCCAGGCTACGACAGGTCGGTTTCGGTTGGCAGCTGGGCCGCCTCCTCCTAACGCAGCTCTCTAGTGCAGTTTCTTGTTGCGGCCAGAGGAGGACGGTCTGTGCAGAAAGGCACCGTCAGGGTTTTGCTGACCAGTCGGGTGTCCTGCTCTGTCATCGACCGCAGGGAACTGCTGACGTGTGTCGAGAACAGGGAAGCGATGGCAGGGACGGCTGCTGGAGCCGTTGCTGGCGATTTGGTTGTGCCTGTGGGAGATGTTACAGTTCGGCTGTGAGGGGTCTGGCCCGGTTTACAGGCTGGTACAATGCCTGTGAACACAGGATGGTGGATGTGGACAGAGTTTTGCCTTCATTGGGTTTCTACAGCAAGGATTCTGTCGATGCTGTTGTTGCATCCTTTACTGGTGGTGTACTGGTGTCCTGTGGGGATGTGCATAACTTCTGTTAATCCAAATAAAACTTACTTTATTTGGAAATAAGCATTCTATCTGCGTGACTTAAGAAAAATAGCATCTCAACAGCTGTTCAGATCTGACTCGGATCTTTTAAGAAAGACCTAAAAGTAGCTCGCTATGCAAATGTAATTCTCCTTTTTTTAAAAATCAGGAAGTTACGCAAGTCTGTGGGTGTCGATGGGAACAGTTGGTCTCCTGACAAGAGCAGCAAAGAGCAGCAGTTGGAATCCACATCCGTTCTCAGCAGCCTCTTGAGCGCCCTGTTCCGGAGGAGGTAGGTGACCCCCGGGTTCACCGGCTGGACAGAACGTCTGCGGGGGCTGACGCCCCCAGAGCCTGCCCGTTAGCTTATTTTGAACCCAAAGCACTCGGGGCTGAAGGAGGTTGATTCCTTGTGAATTTTAGGATGTCCTCACTAGGAGATTGTGCTGTGTCTCACCCTGGAGCTAAAACTGAGCATCAGCTGGGTCGCAGAGAGTGGCAGAGATTATTGTTCTTTATCAGATAAGCGACCTTCCTTGAATGTGTCTGCTCAGGTGGTGTGACTGTTTCACCTGATTTCCAGAAGCAATTGTGCCTCCTGGTTTGAGTTGCTTGGATACTCACCTCGCTTTACCACTTTACTGTTTCTAGAAGGAACTCGAGGAAGAGGGGGATAGATTTTGGGGTAGTATTTCATTGCCTCCCACTGTGTTCTCAGGTGAGTTTTTTGATGAGTTTGCAACTGACAGGTCCTTTCTCTTGATGAGGACTTTTTGTCTTCTGAATTGTGCTTACTTTTTTTTTTTTTTCAACATAATAATAATAAAAAATTTTCCTCTCGGTTTAGAAGCTTTAAGATACTATCAGAGTTACAAAAGAACTGTCTGGTGAGAGGGAAGCAGATGTAAGTCTCTTCCACAGAACCAGGACACGCAGAGCCTGTCAGCAGAAGACAATTACGTGTTCCCTTTGCTGTATTGTTTGATGTTGTACCTGTGTGGCAAGTGACAGAGACCATGATGTCTTCCTCAAAGAGTTTTTCTCTGGCATAAAAGCATTTAATTGTATTTTCTCTCACAGGGTTAGAAGAGTAAAGTTGGTAGCTGAGAAAGGGACTGAGACAGAAAATGGTGTGAATGCTGTGGATAATGGCATTAAACACAGACACGCCAGATCTGACCCCAGGCTGTTGCACTTCAAAGAGAAAAGTAAACTTTCCGATGGGGAAAAGAGCCATCAGGTACTGGCGGGAAAGATCCTTCTGGAGTTTCAAATGTCAGCGTATTCTGTACATGCCCAAAGTTTGTTGGTGCTTGGCGGTGTGGTTTGATCTAATACGAGGTTCTCCCATCTGCCAGCCTCTGCTTGCGGGTAGGAAACCTCAAACCCCCTTCGACTGAAGGCTGACACGGTGCTGTCGGCATCTTTTCATCTGTTGCGATAGTCAAGTATGTCAAGCACAGGTGATCCTGGAAAATGCCTGTTTTGCCAAAGTGCTTGTTTAGTTGTAGAGGCTTCTGGTCACAAGATGCTCAGTTAAGGAAGACGATTAAAAATAAATATCTCAGCCATTTCCAAAAGCAGTTCTGTAAAATAATTTCCCTTGCAAGTGATTCCCCACGGTGTCCTTTCAGAGGGGAGGCAGGAAAGTAAAGGCTGAAACATGCCTTGGGGAGAGGGAAAGACAGAGTTAAAGCATCGTGACCGCTGTTGGAATCGCCAAGAGGTGAAAGGTTGTGGAGTTCCTCTGAGGCTCCTCGGGCTCGGTAAGGCGTTAACTCCCCCGTGAAGAGCTTAGATTCGAGTCTGTGTGGGACACCGTGGCGCTGTGCCATCCCAGCCCCTCTGTTTCTAGGCATCTGAGAGGAGCAAAGCTGGGGGTAGGGGGACACATCTCACGATTTCGGGTCTGCAGGCCGACAGCTTGTAGGTGCGTCTGTTCTCCTGGTCTCAAGGTCGCCGGTAAGACATAGCCAAGAGCTGCTTCCCCTTCCCGCCCGTGCCCCCGAGCCGGCCGCCCCACCCGAGACTCGTTCCTCTGTGGGAAGGCACGGGTGGGGTAACGAGCTGGCGCTCGCGATGTCGCCATGATGCCGCGTTGGGTTCAGTGTCTGCGCGTTCCGCGGAGGTGGGCTGCTGGCTCTTGGGGTACTGGG